TAGAATGGAGATGATAGTGTCTATTTGATCTTTTGAGGCTTCAAAATGGTTTACATGCAAACTGCTTTTAGGAGCATTATTCAACATAGCAAAAAGTGCTTTTCTGTATTTATGAATCCAGAAAGCAAAAAAGTTTGCTTACTGTATTAATAATCTTGGTTGTGAGTGTATCTAATAGTAGTTAGAAATCTAAACTAGCATGCTTCAGTTCAGCTTTAAGCCTGAAGTTGTAGTACAGTGCTGTTGAGTGAAAGCATGTGTGGTACGTAAGTAGGTGCTACTCCTAACCCAAAAGCCTTGAAACTCCTAGGCCTCCAGAGGAACAGCTCCATGTCTCAGTTCAGAGGAATATTAACTATAATATTATATAAACAAAATTTAAGAGTTATTTTTTATAGCTTGTTTAGTTTTCCAGTATAGAAATCTTAAATGTGTTGGATTCCCTGTGCAAAAAAGCTGAGAACTCTTTTGCTATGAAAAAATTTGAAAATAGTTGTTGGCCCAGAGCTTTTAGGAGATTGCAGGTTTTATTTTAGCTTGCAGGTATTATTTTATCAGATGTTTTTAAAGGTATTTGAATATATATATATTACACATCTATATATTCAAGTGCTGGATTCCGCACCTGAAATGAGGTCATCCTGGCCTGGCTGACCAGAGAGCTTTGGCTGGAACTCGAGGAGAGGAAAAAAAGAGAGTTTATGATGAACTTTGGAAGAAGGGGCAGGCAGCTCAGGAGGATTACAAGGGTGTTGTGAGGTTATGCAGGGTGAAAATTGTAAAGGCCAAAGCCCAACTAGAAATTAATCTTGCTACTGCCATAATGGACAATAAAAAAATGTTTCTGTAAATACATTAACAACAAAAGGGGGGCTAAGGAGAATCTCCATCCTTTACTGGGTGCAGGAGAAAATATGGTGACAAAGGATGAGGAAAAGGCTGAGGTCCTTAATGCTTCCTTTGCCACAGTCTTTAATAATAACACCAGTTGTTCTACAGGTAACCAGCCCCCTAAGCTGGAAATGGGATGGGGAGCAGAATGAAGCCCCCATCCAAGGGGAAATGGTTAGTGACCTGTTACACCACTCAGACAGACACAAGTCTACAGGGCTGGATGGGATCCACCCAAGGGTACTGAGAGAGCGCACAGAAATGCTCACCGAACCACTTCCCATCATTTACCAGCAGTCCTGGTTAACCAGGAAGGTCCTAGGAGGGATTTGGAGGTGAGCAAATGTGATGCCCATCTACAAGAAGGGCTGGAAAGAGGACCTGGGCAAGTACAGACCTGTCAGTCTGACCTCGGTGCCAGAGAAGGTTATGGAGCAGATCATCTTGAGTGCCATCACACAGCATGTACGGGACAACCAGGGACTCAGGACCAGCCAGTATGGGTTCCTGAAGGGCAGGTCCTGCTTAACCAACCTGATCTCTTCTATGACCAGGTGACCCACCTAGTCGATGAGAGGAAGGCTGTGAATGTTGTCTACCTGGACATTAATAAAGCCTTTGACACTGTCTCTCACAGCATTCTCCTCGGGAA